TGTTTTACACCAACGTGCAATAAGGCAAGGGTGGAGCCTCCGCCCGTTGATGCCCCACCTCGCAAGATGCCTGTTGCTGAGCGCCTGGCTCGTGAGAAAGCCCAGCGAGAGAAACTCAATGGACTCATTTGGGGTCCAGAGATGCAGCCTGGCCAAGGAGTGGTGGACGCCTGCGTGGACATGTTAGAGCAGAATGTGCTTGTGTACATGCCTCCGCATAAGTTCGTTTCGAGGTCTCAAGAGATATCTTGTGTAAAGCGTGACAAGTCTGTGCTTGTGGACACAGATGGCGGCCTCAAGGTGACAGCAAAGAATCAGGACATGAGCTGTGATGCGTCGACTGAGTATGCTCTCCGCCAGGCCTGGCAGCGACGAAGTCTTGCTTTCGACTTAGCAGGGCTGGCGACCTTTCATGCGCTTGAGGGTTGGGTCAACAAGATGTTCTTGGTTCTGTCGCGGCCCATCCCTCCGGGCTATAAGCCAGTCAACATACACCAGCTGATTAGTGCTGATCGTGCCCTCTTCATTCGGGCGGCCGACGCTTTGGTGGGCAGCTTAACAGGTGTGCCTGGCCGTGCTAAGCCCCTGGACGAGCAAATTGCTCTGCTTCAGGATTCGCCTGAGATTGTTCAGTACATGACTCCTTTACAAGGCAGTGACAACAAGCGGCCGTACACCCCGGGTGATGGGAACGTGCCTCCGCCTGCTCCGCACAAGAAGCCGCGACCGCCTCCAAAGGATCCGAAGAAGGCTGATCCCAACAAACCGAAGAAGTTCGTGGTGCCTGACAATTGCTGCAGCAAGACTGATGATGGCAAACCGATTTGCTACTACTATAACACTACCGGCTGTAAGTTGCCTTGCAAGAAGGGTCGATGCCGCAGAGGAATGCACGTGTGCTGGAGAAAGAGCTGTGGCAAGAGCCACCCAGGGTATGAGTGTCCTCTGGAGTGACTTGCATCCTCTGAGGCTGCTGCTAAGGGGTCGTCGTCCTTGGCCCAGGTTTTCCAGGCAGCAGCGGCCCCAGAGCCAGATGATAGCCCTTTGTCGCCTGCTGAAGTTTTGTCTGAGCATCTCCTTTCGTTGCCTTCCGTAAGCGTGGCAGCTGTTCAGGAGCTTTTCAATCTTTTGCCGCATGAGCCTCCCCCTCGAGGTTCCCAACAGCTTGATTCGGCCTCGTTCAGTACGGGTCTTTTTATGCATGGAGGCATGAGCGGACTGCGCCGCAATGCCCTCCGATTTCCTTTGACTACACGGGTTTTGTGCAGATTCGTATCCGAGCGTGTCAAGAACTTTCGCTTCACAAGCTTGAGTCTTTTTCTCAACGTGAAGACCGATTTTCATGTTGATTCCTACAATTCCCCAGGTGATGATAACTGCGTCTTCAAGATCAATGACTTTGGCAAAGGTGGCGTTTGGGTGGAGCATCCCAATGGCCCCGCAGTTCGCACTGTCAAAGGTCAGCCAGTTGCTGGCCGTGTTCTTGAGTTTGAGCAGGGTTATGTTCGGTTTAATGCCCGTGCCCTGCGTCATGCCACTGAAAGCTGGACCGGCGACCGCATGGTCCTGGTCGCTTTTACAATTAACGATCCCTCGGCCCTAACCCCTCAGGATCTAAGCTGCGCAGGTGCCCTCGGCTTCCCTCTCAGCCCTTGTGTGCAATGCCAACAGCCGTTTCAGGCTGGTGCTTCACTTGAGCCTTTGGAGCCTCGTCCTGTAGCTTTTGAGGTATTCTCTGGATCCGCTTCGCTGTCGCGTGAACTAGCTGCTCAGGGCTTCCAGGTTTTTGCATGCGATCGCGACACCACTAAAGCGCAGAGCGCAACGCTCAAGCTGGACTTGCAGGAGGAGGCGGGCCAAAGTCTCTTTTGGTCTTTGTGGGCCGATGCGAATGCTGCTTATGTTCACTGTGGACCTCCATGTGGCACCGCATCGCGCGCTCGCGAGCGTGCAATTCCTCGCAAGATGCGTGCTGCAGGTGTTCCCCAGCCTCCTCAGTTGAGGTCTTCAGATTTTCCTTTTGGCCTGCCCAACATGTTGCAGTCTGCTGCGTATGGACCCAGGTTACGCGCTGCAAATCGGTTGTATCGCTTCACGGCCAAAATCCTGCTTGCATGCCTGCAAGAGGAGCGGTATTTCTCTATTGAGAACCCCGCTTCCTCCCACTTTTGGAGTATCTTGGATGCCTTAGTCTTGGAGTGGCCGCCATCAGTGCAGGCTAAGTATGCCAAGCTGCTTCGCGTGGATTTTGCCCAGTGTATGCATGGAGGCACTCGACCCAAGGTGTCTCGATTTCTGACCAATGTCCCGTCTTTTGCACAGCTCGCGAGCCGATGTGATGCCAGTCACTCCCACGATGCGTGGGGTGCCCAGTGGTCTCCTTCAGGTTGGCGTTTTGCCACCCATCTCGAGGCTCAGTACCCTCGCTTGCTGTGCCGTCGCCTTGTGGATGCCTTGTGCAGCAATTTGACCCCCTCTCAGGTCCGTGCCTTAGCCCCAAGTGTCAGTCTGCACACCGACGCTTTGGCCTCTCTTGCAGTTCAGTCCCGCCGTTTCCCTCCCCTTGTGTCGGAGTTTCGCCAGGTCGTGCATCTTCCTGCCGACGCGCCGAAGCCCGCGAACTCTAAGACCGTGCTGCCTGGGGATTCTTCGGGGTCTTTAGGGGCTTCGGGTGCGGTGACTTCTAGGACTGTTAGGGCCTTTGATAAGGTGGGGATTTATAGAACTCCTGAGGAATTTGTTGCTGCAGCCAATGATGTGCGTCACCCGATGGACACACAAAATCCTTTGGCAAAGGTTACGTGCGACGCCTTGGACACTATTTTTGGACAGGATCCAAAGTATGTTCGACTTAAGCGAAAAACCAATTTGCTTAAGGTGCAGCTGTTGGCTAAGCAGTTGGCTCCAGAGGAAGCTACCCTCAAGGCCAGCATGTCGGATGGAGTGCGAAAGGTTTTGGGCACAAAAAAGTTGGTCTTGTGGGAGCGCCTACTCCGCCAAGAGGGCTATGATGATTTAGACGTGATTCCCCTAATGCAACAGGGCGTTCCGCTTGTCGGCACTCCTGACACCCCTGCTTGCTTTGAGGCGAAACTCACCCCGGCTACGATCACCGAGCATCAACTTCGGGAGACTGCAAAATGGCGCCGCAAGTCGCTTGTGGCGAAGCCTTTGAGCATGACCGATGATTGCTTTGATCCCCTCGAGGAAGCTTGCAATGACGAAGTGCGGCGGGGTTCGCTTGAAGGGCCTTTTTACAGCGAGGCAGCTGTGTCAGAATACTTAGGCCATGACAGGTGGAGTTGTGTGCGACGCTTTATCATTCAGCAGAATGACAAGTACAGACCGATTGATGATTGTTGTGAGTGCCAATTGAATGCGGGATACACTTCCACATTCAAGTTGCGCTTGCAAGATGCTGATTACTTTGCATGTTTGGTCTTGAACATATGCAAACGCATCCTGTCATCGAGCTCGCGTGACGACCTTGCCGAGTGGAGTGGAAAGTGCCTTGACTTGTCCCGCGCTTATAAACAGCTGGCGATCCTTCCTGCACATGTGGATTTGGCGGTCTGCTTAGTCCACACCCGAGCAGGCAAGCCAGTTTTCTATGTGCCGAACAGCCTCATGTTTGGATCGAATGCAGCAGTTTATGCGTTTAATCGAGTAAGTCGTAGCATTTTCTTCCTCTTGAGTCGGTTGCTGATCGTCCCGCTGTCATGCTTCTACGACGACTTTCCAATCTTGGCTCCCACTCAGGATGCGAGTGAGGTCGATGGCATGATTTCCGATCTGCTCGATACCTTAGGTTGGGAGCACAAGCGCACCGGCGAGGGTCACAAGGGTCTTCCTTTTGCAAAGCTTGTTGACATTCTTGGCATGCGTGCAGACCTGACATGCATGGCGGGCGGGTCCGTGACACTTTCAAACAAGCCTGGACGCATTGACAAAATTTGCGATTTTGTCGTGAGTATCAGGAATGCGGGGTGCGTGACTAGACATCAGGCACAGGTCTTGCTGGGCTTGTTGAACTTTGCCTGTGGTTACTATCACGGCCGAGCCTTGCGATACTTGTGTAAAGGTTTGATTGATGTTGTTTCAGGCGG